AGATATATTTTTAGAAAAGCACATCATGCATATAAACTATTCCTCCATGAGGTATGGTGGAACCATCAATGGGTAAAATCGAGGACACGAAAGCTTACTTGTAGTGCCAAAATCCCTATCCAAAGGCTTGGTATATACAGATACACCAACAGTCACACAATCCAATAGTTGCAATCTGTTTTATATCAAAAACGTTATTAATATTCAGAATCCCAATTTCACATTAATTAAGCAATGTTTTCTTTTTCGTTTAGTGACTTAAACCCCTTCTAAATCATAATTATCGTATATTAATCCTCACTATTATTGGTATTAATATTTTCCAGCAGTAACACTGACTCCCTAGGGTACCATACCCAAATTAGGACTTTCCCACACATCAGAACTGATTTTTGGTCTTTCTGACAAGGGATCGATTACCATACAGAGGGTAATCGATTACTCCACACGGTAATCGATTACCATAAATAGGGTAATCAATTACTCCACACGGTAATCGATTACCATAAACAGGGTAATCAATTACTCCACATGGTAATCGATTACCATGCACATGGTAATCGATTACCACGCAGATAGAACATGAAAGCTGCAGAATTTTCTGCATAATCTGCGGGTTCCATGGCTTCCAAGGGTCCAAGGTCCAATTTTTCATCAAACAGTAGTTTAAACCACATGCTTAAACATCTCTATACCATATTTTACATGCATCATTAAGATTTCCATTTTTTACTTCACAAACTAACTCATTTTCAAGAAACTACAAAGGAAATGGCTTGTAGTTACCTATGGACCTTTGAGACCAGAAAAATGGGGAAGCTTTGAGGGTTTTGAAGGTGCTCCAAGCTACTGACTTGGTGGTGCACGAAAATTACATCCAAAGGTAGGTTCTTTCTTCATAAAGATGGATTCTTGAAGCTTCAATGGAGGTGTAACAAGCTTCCACTTCCACAACAATGAAGGGCAGCTCTTCAATGCCCCAAAACAGAACCCATAACCTTAAAAGAACACTCTTTACACTCCCCCAATGCTTGCTAACAACTATGCACTGTGATGGAAGAGGATATTGAAGAAGAAAGGTGAAGTCTTGGGTGTTTTAATGAAGAAAAACTTAGTCTTTCAAGTGAAGTGGAAGGTGGCAGCTAGGGGTGTTCAAAAAAACCAAATGATCCAAACCACTTTATGAACTGAACCAAACCAATTCAAAAAAACCAGTTTTTATAAAACAGTTTAAAAAACCAATCCAGTTTTTTAATTTTGGTTTAGGTTTGGTTATGCATTTTGATAAAAGTTTAGATATCCGAAATAACCAAACCAAATTTAAAAATTAAAAATACCGGTTTGGAAACGAAAAATGCAGGTGATGTATCAGAATAAACACCATTGTTTAAAAAAACTGAACCAAACACATTGATGCTATCTGAGAAAGTTCCAGCATTTAATTATCAGAATAGACAAACAAATTAGAGCTTTGAACCAAATCCTCATCTCTCTAGCTGATATCAGATACTCAAAAAAAAGGTTCCAAATGCATCCCCCTCTCCATCACCATTGTTATATCAGCCACCACAACCAATATTCAAACTCTTAACATCAAATACTAATACTAAAACATGCACGATGAAACTAAAAAAATGATGATCGAAGACTGATTTTGGTACTGAAATGAAGTCAAATTAGATAGTTCATCAACAATAATAGGCTCTAATTAATTAGAGTAGAACCATGTCTACATGCTCAAACACTAACACAATCAGAAATATAGCCCCACCTTTAACCCACGATGCAGAGCAGCACTTAGAGAGAGAGAGAGAATGAAAAAAAATCCAATTTTCTTGTTACAAATCCGGATTGAAAAAATTAAAACCGATTTTTAAAAAAATTAAACCGTTTTGGTTTGAAAACCAAACCATTAAAAATGGATCGGTTTGGATATTAGTAAAAACTGAACCAAACCGCTCCATGCACACCCCTAGTGGTAGCCAAGAAGCTACGTAGGAGAGTGTAATATTCTGACCTAGGGTTTAATGCCCACCTATTTATAGTGGCACACCCTTAAACACCCGGTATTAGTTCTAATAGCTACACTCATCATTTTTCTACCAAACTTAATATTCTGAACTTAGACATTTTTCTGAGAATTAACATATTTGTATTATAATTTTTCGAAACCCTTTATCGGTACACATTTTATACATAGTCAGTATTAGTTCGGACATCACCGCTCATTATCTTTACTCCCAACTTGATATCCTTGACCTAGATATTTTTCTAGGAATATTTGTATTTTTATTGTAATTTTTCAAAATACTTCACCGGTACACATTTATACCGTGAAGCAGAACCGATATCTGCACTTTTCATCAGAAAAACGATTTAAGCATTACTTGACCTTCTCGAAAATTATTCTAATCTTTCTATATTTATCCAAAGTCAATTATGGAATTATTTTTTAAATTCATAATTAAATTATTTAAATTCCTAATTTAATGGTACTGATTCTTACAAGCATCATCTTGGACACCTTCGTTGCGGCCTATGATGCACGGACACGGACACGAGACACGACACGACACTCTGACACGTTAATTCTAAAAAATGCTAAATTTCGACACGTTAGGACACGTTTTGATATTAAATAATATTTTTAATATATATAATATAATTTACATTTAATACATATAACAACTCATAATAAGTCATATACTAATCAAATATTCAAATTTCATAACATAAATATTAAGCAAAAATAATAGAACATCTCAAAAGTATAGAGGTGTAGACCACTCACAAATTCAATTATTTTCATCTCCATCTTGAATAATCATGGCCTCAAATTTCATACCATCTCCTAAATTTTTCTCTAAGCACTAGTAGATTTGGTGTCATTTTCCCGAACATCAAAGTTAAACTTCACCTAGTTATATGCTAGACATACCAGTGATATTAAAAGTATGTTTTTTTAAACATAAAATACGATTAAATAAAAAAAATGTGAATTAGATTTTATACATTGTCAAAGTAAATTATTTTTTTGTAATATAATGATGTGTTATCACATTATTTAATGAATTTAACATCTGATATTACTGTTAATATAACCAAATTCATTTAAATGATGTACTGTCAACACAATATTAAATGCTGTGAGTATTGTGATGTGACCACTCATTAATTTCTCTTCCCCATTATACCTTTCTACCCCTTTTCGTCTTTTTCCCCACACTAACCCGTCTTTCTTTCCCCCCTTTTCTTCTTCTTCTCCCTTACTTCAAAACATGGCTCACCGACGCTTACATCAAAACGTGACGCCGCCGCTAGTTCGTTGTCAAACAAGACAAGCTTTTCTGGTTCAAGGATCCTGCCGACGCTTTTCTGGTTCAAAGATCCGACGACGAAGAAGAGATGAGGCAGCGATAGGATAGGGTTCTCTTTTGTTTATTTTTTAATTTTTTTAATTGTATTTTTATTTCTTTTTTACCAAAAAAATGTCAAAACGTGTCCACATACGTTGACCGCGTGTCGGATCCGGTCAAAATCGCGTGTCCCCTTAGTCAACGTGTCCCAAAAAGTTGACCGCGTGTCGAAACATGTCCGTGTCGGACATGTGTCTGACACGCATTTTTTCCTAAAAATCTCGTGTCCGTGCTTTAGAGGTTGCGGCCATGGATTGCTGACTCGTGACTCATACCACTCATCATACTTAATGGTAACTCCTAAACACTTAAAATGCTACAGTACCTAACATGATAACTAAACTAAAATTTTCCTTGCTCAAAGGGGAAGAAGGGGGGCTTTAAGAAAAGAAAACCGCAAAAGTCCAAAAATAACCAAACAACATGTATTTGCATTTAGAGAATAAGGACCAAATACCATACAACAAAAGAAAATCGAAGGCAAAGTGTTTGGGTTACCTGTTCGGCGGAGGAGAAGGAAATAAACGAAGAAGTAGGAACAATAAACACCCCACGCGAATACCAAATGAATGGAGTACAAGAAATCTTGAGAAAGCAGAGCACTTACGAAACAAGTCACTTAGGGTAGTTAAGACCCAAATCCAATACGACAAGCACTATAAATAAAGGCAGAGGACACCAAGTATACACTTTTGTCTCATCTTTATTTCTGTTATCTTTGTGCACATACTCACATCTTGACTATGTCATTACCGTTTAGTACACAATGATCCATATACCATTGTGGTATCTCCCTTATAGATATCCACGAGTGTACATATCCTATATTGAGACATCATCTATTCGGTAAACATTCCCGATCCACTCGAACCAAACAAATACTTTTTTCGTGAGAACGATAATCCCTTGGACCAATGCACTTATGTTAGTGTAATCATAAGTGCTCTGATGCAATCATCTAAAGATTTCTTCCAGGTGATCTGTGCTCCAACAGTTACTCGAACACTTGTCAGTACTTTGCAATATTTCATTTTATTTTGATCAACTGACCACATTTAAAGAAGCTTATCGACTGAAACGAACAATGAGTATGTACATAATCAGATTTGACTAACTACCCAATTTTTCTTGTATATAATGAATAATAATAATAATAAAAGTTGGTAGACCTTTAAATCTGAATGAAACCTAAGGCCTAGACTTAGCCTTTTATGAGCTTTAAAGATAGGGACGACCGCCCACCCGATCCCCTCCCAGAGCCGACTGTGCTTACCCGAACTGCAATGTTTTATGTTTTTTTTTTTTTTGCAAAGTGATATTTTAAAGATGCAATATCATTCGGACAAGACCACACAGAATTTTCTCTTGCCGTTAAACTTTTTTAATCAAATGAATCCCTTAATATATTAAACAATGCAGGCAACATACTTAACATCGTGTAAACATCATAACAAAGAAAATAATTAAATGATTTTTTTTTTCAATATAACCTCATTCATATTATTAAGTGCTAATCAATAAATTTTCAAAATTAAACTTGAGAATCTTTTCATGAAATTACAAATTTAGTGCTAAATTTTCAATTTTACAAAAAATAAAATAAAAATGGTTTAAAGCAATGCAAGGACTTTACAACACAAGATGAAATTTGAAGGGCCGATCCAAACATTTGAAAGCACTTGGATCTCTTAAACTAGGAAAGGTCAATGGATATCACTATTGCCTATGTCTTTTATCAAAGAAAAATAGATAGAGAATTTAATGCCGAAAAACTTAGCATGCCATCATGGCATTTCCGTCCAGTTCCATTTACAATAATTCAAAACCATCACCTGTATGACCATTACCATAATATTCATTATCAGTGTCCTCATCGTTACTGATTCCATTGGCATAATATACTTCATCATCATCATTTTCGTTATTATCAGTTTCTGTTTCACAATTGGCATCAAGAACATTATTATGCGAGGTCCAATCAGGGGGAAAGGTCTTTTGTAGAGTTTCTGTTAGTTCCCCTCCTGTCCTCTCAATCTTGCGTAAACATCTTGACCAGTGGACCGCAGTTCCCATGTCAACGGTTATCTCAGATTCAATCATCTCTTTACATATAGACAACATACCACTATAAACGTATGATTGAGATAAGGTGGCTCTTGAAAGCAAAGATGTCATAAGACAATGGTACACTGCTTTGTCTGGTTTCAATCCAGCCACTTTCATCTCTTCAAAACACCTCAGAGCCTTCTCTGGAAAAGAGGCACGTGCCCAACCATGTATTAGAGTGGTGTAGGTTTTGAGGTTTGGTTTTATACCAGATGCTTCCATTTCTTGGATAATCTCTGTTGCTTTCTGGCAGGAAAAATAAAAATCTAATTAACAGGTGATGTGTAAATAAATTACTACAATTTGACAAATATCTTAAAATTTATTATTCAAAACTATGCTTTGAGGAAGTTTAGCACCCCAGGATGAGTATTATGAAATAAGTCTTACATAAACCAAAAGGATCTTTTGAGAAAGCGTGAAGAATGAATTGAAATGAGATGCATAACAAGAAATGATTCCCCACACAATTCATGCTTCTTATGCTAAATGATAATGAAGATGCATGAAATGAGACACTTATACCCTTACTTTTAGTCCAATACAAGTAATCACAAACTTAATTATATTTCTGAACAAACATCATACCTGCATGTCTCCAGCTTTACAACAAGCATTTATAAACGACGTGTAGGTATGGATGTCAGGTTGAACTTCTTCCTTTCTCATCTGTTGCATTAGGTCTGCAGCCTCCCAAACATCACCTCTCCGAGCCCAACTAAGAAAATAAACTAGGTTAATAAAGTATAAAGCAGGTTGGGAAGCCACTGAAGGATGAAAATATTAAAAATTCAGGTGTATACTGTTATGGAACCAGTCATATGGAATTCCTAGATAAGAACCATATTATATACACATGAAAAAAAAGTAATAGAGAAAAATAGGCAATGCCATAATTCAAGAATATACGACCAAATATTAGATAAAAGTGAAAATATCAAGTTTAATTCTGTCAGATGAAAATTATTCATACCCATCAATGAGTATGTTATAGACAAAAGTGTTTCTTGGAATCTTTCTTGCACTCATTTCTTTTGTGACTGCTAGGGCACTCTGCATTCTGCCTGACTTGCAACATGCCTTCAACAATGCCTCATAAGTATATACATCAATCTCCAGGCCCTCATTCTTCAATGTCGTGAAGTACTGAAAGGCCTTTCCAGTATCACCCAGTGCAGCATAACCTTGCATAAGAGTTGTATATGTATGTTCATTTGGGCTAACGCCTGCCAGATTCATTTCATCCAATACTCCTACGGCCTTTGCCATCTACATGAAATGTAACATAATTTACAGGAAGTGTTACATAATGAGGGAGGAGATGTATAACAAATCAACAAGTAATTTTAAATATAAAAAAGGAAAGGTGCATTTTTTTCCTAATAAAATACAAAGGTTTAAGAGGACGAGCTTGGAGTAGGGGTAAAGCTGCTCGTTGATGGCTAAGAGGTCAAAGGTTCGAAACTAGAAAACAACTTTTTTGCAAAAATGCAAGTGTAAGGCTACGCACAAGGATTTCCCTCATTCCAACCTTTGCGACTCAGAATTTGATGTCTGCATTTTCTATTTTGTTTCATGGATAAATGAGTTTTTTTTTACATGTCCTTATCATGTCACATGACTCACATCACACATCAATCTCCATGCTAGAACTCCACACGGTATGTAAGGTTAGGATTTAATGAGTTAGGTTTAGGGTTTTCTTGGGTGGATTAATGACAGAAATAGAAATTGAAGGCTCATTTGGCATATGTGAGAATAAGGCTGGTATTAACTGGTAGGGAAGGATTTATAGGTAAAATTGGGGGCTGTTTGGCTTGTGAACAATATTTGCAAGATTAACATTTATATTAATAGAAAGAGACAAACCCAAAGGAGAAGAACGAATTTCATGACCTGCTCAGTGGCTGTGCTCTAAATTTTATTACGTAAATAGAGCTCTTTCACAAGCTTTTACAGCTGTACCAAATAACATAAAATAATAATCCGTAAAGCTTGTTGAAAATATAGGAATTCACGTAGGGGGGGAAGAAAAGAGAGAATAAAGACTGAAAAATCTAAAATCTATATTGATTTGATATGAAGGATGTGTTACAAAAGACAAAGCACTAAGCTCTGTTTATACTAAATAGAAAACTCCTAATCCAAATACTAGAAAAGAAGATTTGTAAATTATTGGATTATAACATATTTGTACAAGAGTTCTCTATTTAAAGAGATTAAAAAACCTAATGGGCTAAGCCCAAATACACTGATAGAGTATTCTATTACAAAAAAATAATAAAATAATTCTATTATTTACAATACTCCCCCTCAAGCTAAGGAATGGATATTTATCATTCCCAGCTTGGTAGTAAGTTCCTGAAATCTATCATTAGGAAGACCCTTGGTTAAGACATCAGCCAATTGACGACTAGAAGGAATTTATGGAGTAGTGATCAGTCCACTGTCTAATTTCTCTTTAATGAAGTAGCGATCAATCTCAATATGTTTGGTTCGATCGTGTTGAACTGGATTGTGGGCTATACAAATAGCTGACTTGTTATCACAAAGTAACTTCATAGATCCTTCATATCTCACCTTGAGATCATCTAAAATGATTTTCAACCATAATAACTCACAGATACCTTGAGCCATAGCTCGAAATTCTGCTTCTGCACTTGATCTAGCAACCACATTTTGCTTTTTACTTCTCCATGTTATAAGATTTCCACAGAGAAACATACAATATCCCGAAGTAGACCGTCGGTCAGTCACAGATCCAGCATAATCGGCGTCTGTATAAACTTCTAAGGATAAGTCTCCTCCTCTCTGGAACAATAGTCCTCTACCTGGTGTGCCTTTCAGATATTGGAGAATCCTGTCCACAGCTTGCAAGTGTTTCTCCCTCAGATCATGCATAAATTGGCTAACAACACTAACTGCATAAGCTAGATCAGGTCTAGTATGAGCTAGATATATCAATCTGCCCACTATTCGTTGATATTGTCCTTTGTCAACTGGAGAGCTCTCATTTTCACTTCCTAGTCTGTGATTCTGCTCAATCGGAGTACTGGAAGGTTTACACCCAAGTTTTCGTGCTTCTTTAAGGAGGTCAAGAACATACTTCCTTTGACAAATAAATATCCCTTGCTTCGAATGAGCAACTTCTATCCCAAGAAAATATCTCAGTTTTTCAAGATCTTTAACTTCAAATTCAGCAGTCCGTCTTTTTTTCAGAGCACATTTCTCACCTATATCATCCCCTGTTATAATAATGTCATCAACATAAACTAGAAGCATAGTGGTCTTCCCTTCCAGAGAATGTTTAAGGAAAAGTATATGATCCCCTTGGCTTTGCTTGTATCCCAATGAAAACATGACTTTGGTAAATCTTCCAAACCAAGCACGCGGGGATTGCTTCAAACCATACAATGCCTTCTTTAACCTGCAAACTTTATTATCTCCATTTGTAGAGTTAAATCCTGGTGGAATCTCCATGTAAACCTCCTCTTCTAATTCTCCATTGAGAAAGACATTTTTCACATCAAATTGGTTCAAATCCCAGCTAAAATGAGCAGCGAGGGACAATAGAACTCTTACAGTGTTCATTTTGGCCACTGGAGCAAATGTTTCTTCGTAATCAATGCCATAGGTCTGTGTGTATCCCTTGGCTATCAATCGAGCTTTGTACCTTTCAAGAGTCCCATCAGAATTATACTTCGGAGTATACACCCATCTGCACCCTACTGTCCTTTTTCCATTTGGCCTGTCAACAACTTTCCATGTATTATTCTTCTCCAATGCATTCATCTCCTCATGCATGGCTTGAACCCAATTATCATCTTTTAATGCTTCATGTACTGATTTCGGGATTGAAATGGAGTCAAGTGCTGTAATAAAACTTCTATGCTGCATAGAAAGATTCTTAGAGGAGACAAAATGAGAAATAGGATGTTGGGTACAAGACCTTTTCCCCTTTTCTTACAGCAATGGGTAAGTCATCAGAATTAATATCAGGCTCAGGAATAAAAGTAGTAGTGTGTTCAGTACTTACCAGCGGTTCGGGCGATTGCCTGCTGTTGGGGCAGTGTGGGTTGTTTCTTCCTTTGGTACAATAGTTTGGGTGTCCCAGCTTTGCGTACTTTCTGTCTATCAATAGGAGGCATGTCACATGAGGAATCAGATGAATTTTCAACCTCAGCAATTAAGTCTTCCTTCTCATTGTCATGTAGTGTAACTACTGGAGTAGAAGATATAGGTAACTCAGATGAATTTTCAACCTCAGCAATTAAGTCTTCCTTCTCATTGTCATGTAGTGTAACTACTGGAGTAGAAGATGTAGGTAACAGAAAGGGAGACTCAGACTCGAAGAAGATGGATGAAGCTTCTACACTATTCTCCCCCTGAAGCTGAGGGTGTAGAAAGTAAGACTCAGATTCATGAAAGCTAACATCCATAGAGACAAAGAATTTACGACTTGGAGGGTGGTAACATTTGTATCCTTTCTTGTTGGGAGCATAACCAAGGAAGACACACTTAAGGGCTCTAGGCTCTAATTTACTCCGATGTTGTTTATGGATATGGACTAAGGCAACACATCCAAAGATACGAGACTGGAGACTTTGCATAATTGGAACAGAAGGAAAAAAAGAGGTCATGAGATCAACAGGACTTACATAGCCAAGGACTCTGGAAGGCAAGCGGTTGATCAAATAGGTTGCAGTTAATAAGGCTTCTCCCCAGTAAGAGTTGGGTACAAATGTCTGAAATAATAATGCTCTGGTGACTTCAAGCAAATGTCGATTTTTCCTTTCAGCAACCCCATTCTGTTGAAGGGTATCCACGCATGTGAGCTCATGAATCATACCTTTGTCTGAAACGAATTGTGACAGATGCTGGTTGACATACTCCGTATCATTGTCAGATCTTAATCTTTTAATACTTTTACCAAACTGTGTCTCAATCATTTGATAAAATCGAATAAACAATTCTGGTACTTCTGACTTATCTTTCATCAAGAATATCCATGTCACCCAAGTGCAATCATCAATAAAAGAAACAAACCACCTAGCACCTGAAATAATATGTACTTTAGAAAGGCCCCAAACATCTAAATGGATAAGAGTAAAAAGCTCAATGCTCTTTATTGAACTTGAAGGAAAGGGCACGACGCGGTGGTGTTTCACAAGCTCACAAACATCACAATGGAAGGAGTCAATTGCCTGATCCTTAAACAAAGAAGAAAACATTGACTTTAATAAGCCAAATGACGGGTGCCCCAGGCGTTTGTGATGAAGCCAAATCTGTGAGAATGAAGTAGACGGGTGATGACTCATCAATAATTGATTCCCGGTATCCCTTGTAGCATGCTCTGGAATGAGATAGTACAACCCACCTTGCTCCTTAGCAACTCCAACCGTCTTCCCCGTGGTGATATCCTGAATAACACAATGGGTAGGAAAAAAAATGACAGCACAATTCATGTCAGTTGTAAGCTTATAAGTGGAGATAAGATTGGTAGAGAGCTGAGGAACATAAAGAGCATTCTTTAAAAATAAGGAAGGTTGAATTTGAATGTTACCAGAACCCATAACTGATTTGTGGGATCCATCAGCTATAGCTATAGTACGGATACCACTAGTAGGGTGATATGAAAGAAAAGAATCAGTAAGACAGGTCATATGATCAGTTGCACCAGAATCCATAATCCATGAATTTTTGAAATCAATGCAAGATGTAAGAAGAGATGTAGGGTGTGTGATCTTACCAAACATAGTTGATCAGAAAAATAAATTTTTTTTTTTTTTTTTTAGCAGTACGAGTGAACAGTGCGCATGAACAGTGCGCGCGAACAGTACCGGTGAACAGTAGCGATGAACAGTGCTGTGAACAGTGTTTTTTTTTTTTGTTGATCGTCTGATGAAAAAGAAACCTCCGTAGAATGATAGATCTGAGAAAATGGAGTGAAACAGGGGTTCTCAAGGTCCAAAAGGTCCCCGGAAATTTTTTCCGGCGGCGGCGAGAGGCAAATAGGGTTTGATTTTTTTTTTTAAAAGCGGTGATTTGCGGAAGCAGAGCCCTCAGAATCGAGAGCTCTGATACCAACTAGAAAAGAAGATTTGTATATTATTTGTACAAGAGTTCTCTATTTAAAGAGATTAAAAAACCTAATGGGCTAAGCCCAAATACACTGATAGAGTATTCTATTACAAAATAATAATAAAATAATTCTATTATTTAGAATACAAATTAAATAAGAAAACAAATCATCAAATATAAGGATACATGAAAACCAGTCCTAAGAGAAAAAAATCTAAGATATTCTAAATTACTTTAAGATACAATCAAGATATCGTAAAATGTTTTCTCAAGCTAAAACTTACTAAGCTCTAAGCATGTAACAAATAAACCTCCTTAAAAAGGAAAATTAACCACACAATATAATTTGGGCTCCATAAAAAATGGCTAGAAAGGAAACTTAGAGATATTGGAAATATCAGAGATGACCATTGCTGGAATGACAACTTAGCAAGATGACTGGAATAATTATAAGCCTAAAGTGCGGGATGAAGTGTTGCATGACCAAGGAAGAAGAGATTTCACTGAAATGATCATCAGCACAAATTTCTTAGCAAGTAAACATACACAACAAAAACTAAAACTTCTCCTCCCAGTTCATCATGAACAACATTTAGAAGCTTCAACCCACAAGAAAACATAGGAAACCCAAAAAAATTGAAAGTGAAACTGAAGCTAGGGAAAATCATAGCCACGGAGAATTCATGGCTGGCATAACTCATCAGTGTCATAGGAGAAATCACCATTGGTATGATTCAAAATCCATCACTGTACAGCTCATAGGTAAGAAAAAAGTCATTGGAATGATTGCCGGTGGGAAGAGAACATTATGACAAACACTGGATGGTTTGGATCACAAAACAAATATAAGTGCAGCACATACAACAAATCTACAAAAAGAAATAATTGAAACCACATAACGGAAGAACCCCTTGTGATACACTTAACAAGTCTATGAACGGTCTACCAAAACAAACCAGTCTATAACAGATCAAGGATAGATCTGCAATATCAACGTGGCAGTGGTGCCAGAAGCTGACAGCGTATGGTCAGAGAAGGAACGATGAAGGCGGGTGACGAAGACAGCTGCTGGAAAGAGTATCAGATGGTGTCATCATTGGCTGCAAAGCTCACAGTTGAAAGCTTGTAACAGTTTCAAGCAATGGAAGCAGGCTATGCAAGCCACAGTTGTGCCATTTCAACTACATAGCAATCAATTGAATAGGAAAGCTTCCAAATCTCAAAACTTAAAGAAATAAATTTTAAAAAATAAATAAATTCAACCTTCAAAAATGTTAAATGTAGTTGCAAAATAACTGTTATGTAATATGTTTATTTAATTTACAGCAGTTAACTCTATAGCTATTCATTTTTCCTAGTAAAAATTACAAATAAACATATGATAAAAATAGGGAAAAGTAGTAAGAACCAAGTCATGTCATTCACGTATTTAAATCAACAATTGCTTGTCAACCACAAGTTACCTGACGTTTCTCAACAAGGCCAAGAATAAGAGCATTATATGTGTGTACAGTGGGAATGCAGCCACTCCTCCTCATCATATCAAAAATCTCCAGGGCTCTCCTCACCTCTCCAGCTCTTGAAAAACCATGTATAATGGGCAAAAATGTGCGTGTTGTAGGTCTATGCCTATCCCTCTGCATTTGCTTCACAATACAAATGGCACGATCCATATTACCCATCCAACAAAAAGCTCTTACAATGTTATTGTAGAGTACTACATCAGGCTTCAAACCATCTTTAGTAATCTCTTCAAATATGTAAAATACATTGGCCCAATCTTTTAACTTCAAGAATCCATTGATCAACATAGAGTAGGTCTTCATGTTATGTTTTATGCCAGCCATTGTCATCATTTTGCTAATCTCCAATGCTTTAGAAACTTTTCCTATCTGCAAAGGAAGAAGATAAAACAGATTTGTGTCAGCAAGCCAGAATTAATGGTGGGGCATATATTTGTTTGCTTGAACAAAATTAATTTACCAACTTTCTAAAAAGATGGTAGCCAAAGTATGCGTTAAGCAAGGCAACTACAATATGAGATTTGAAGGAAGGATCACATCATATCACAAGCAACATAGACATTTGGGTTTAAATCAGCGAGTTTATTCGCCTCATATAAATGAAAGAAATGAAAGAAAGTCTTATGTAGTAGTAAGGCTTGCAATGTTATGAGGAGCTGAATGTTGGCCACTAAAACATGAGCATAAAATGGGAGTACTGAAATGAGGATGTATAGTCATACTAAGATGGATGAGATAAAAACTGGAACATATTTGACGAAAAGTTAAAGTAATACCAGTGAAAGAAAGGATGAGAAAACATCGATTGAGATGGTCTGGCCATTTTTTCGAAGACCCTTAGATGCTCTGGTAAGAAAAGAAACTTGACACTCAAGAGTATGACATGGAAGGAAGGAAGAGGTGCCGAAACTCTACTAAGAAAGGTAGTAAAGTAGGATATAATGAAGTGGGAAATAAATTGGTTTGTGGTTTGTCATAGGATGGAGTGGAGAGAAGTTATTAGTATAGTGGAAGCGTAGAAATTTTCTTAGTTTTTATTTTTCATATATATATATAGGATAGGATCCTTTGACACCGGAGTTTTTAGTTTGACAACTCATATGAGTCATTGATCTTGTCTTGATCTAACGACTCTGGTTTGTAAGATGTGACACCCGTTAATCTGCCTTGATCTAACAACTCTCAGGTGAGTTGTTTGACACCGGTGTCAAAGGATCATACCCCTATATATATATATATTTTCCTTAATATGTTCCTTTTTTCATGGGTTCATCGATTGCTGATCCCAACTAGTTTGGGATTAAGATGATGTTTGATAATCTTTGTCAGTACAGCCAATCAACTATAATTATTCATCATCTTGATATTTCATGTCAAATGTTTAAAAAATTGAACATCAACAAGAATGTAATAAAATCATACATATATTTGAACTGTTATATTAATCTTAATATTGATGGAGTATTACAACGAGAAGTTTTATTAATATGATCTACATTATTGGATCTTTCAAACAAATGTTCGAAACAAGCCAACATTTGCAAGAAAACAAAGCAGTAATAACAGGCAAAAAGAGATAGGTGAGCTGGATAACATAAACGATCAAATTAATGTAATACATGAAATATGTCTTACCTTGGAGTAAAGATTAATAAGACAACCATAGCTGACAACTGAGGGAGAGAAGCCACATTCCTTCATCAAAACCAAGAAATGTTACTGTGCCATTCAATGTCAAGTGCAGTGGTGCACAACAGTTTAAGATATCACATCCTAATATATCAAGGTGACTATAAGCAATATATATCAAATGCTGACTTGAAAAAAAGGGCTACAAATTTCAAACAAAAATCGGATACTCCTGTCCTAAGAATCAAGAAATAAAAAAACAAGTTAACTTGATGAATGAAATATAGACCATCATTAAATAATTGGAAATAATTTATAATATTTTTCTCAATTAAAATCAGGATAGTGAGAAAGATAAGTTTCCTTGAAAAGCAAGTTGGAAATTTGAAAAAATCAATCTGTCATGAATCGGTTCAAAAATGGCTCGACTCGCCTCAATCAACTACTAGCAGATGGAAGAACACAACAAACAAGGCAAGAGCAAAACAGTCAACTGGGGCCAAGAACACAGCAACCCATACAGGAACATAGCCAGAAACACCAATCTGATCCAAACAATAGAAAACATAGGGATGGAAATTCAAAATAGAGGAAAACTTAAGAGGACAAGATTGAAGCAGTGATAAAATTACTTCTTTGTGACTGAAAGATCACGTATTCAAATATGGGACATAGCCTCGTTACAAATATGTAAGAGTAAGGCTGCGTATAAGGATTGACTTCACTCCTACCCTCACTAGTCGGGTTTAATGGGGAGTGGACTTTTATTTTCTTAGGATAGGAGAACTTGCTCAAAAATTCAAATTATGATGCAAAACTCAAGAGGAAAGCTAGAGTACAAGCAAAAGAAGCAAAGAAGAAACTTAACCCTTTCAAAAAGAATCCTATATTACAATCTGGAATTTTTATGTTAGAAATTTATGTTTAAGTCGTCCTTTGGTTTTTTTGATCTTCTAATGGAGTAGGACATTTTCTTTTTAAAAGATATTACTGATGACAGCACATAGCATATTAAGACTACAAAGTCTATCAACACAAAATAATCCTATGAACAAGCTATACCTTAAGCCTTTCAAACACAACCAAGCATTTATCTTCATTGCCAATCATTGTATAACCATCCATCATGGTATGATATATGTCAATGGGAGCATCTATCCCTTGTTCTTCCATCTCCCTCACCAAGGCTTCAGCTTGATCCATATTGCAAGTTTGACTGTAAAACACATCAGGATATCATAAACGAAAACAAAAGGGACAGAGGAAGAAAATTGAATACAAAAAACAATCATTTGCTCATAAACAAAAATTGGGCAACTTTCAGAAACAGAAAGCTAAGTAACAATAAATACCAAGGCAGAAACATTAGTTACAGTGTTACACTAATGAATAATTGAGTAGTTGATGGCTAACCACATATTGAGTTAATTAACCACTGGAATGGTAAACGTTTTAGTCTTGGTAAACATTGTGATAGAGCCCAATTGCGTAAGGCCCAACTACGCAAGGTCTATGTAAGGGACCCAAACAGGAGACGAGCAGTGAATGAAGCCCAGGCCATGCAGCTGGCTAATGCTGAGTCAGCAATCTGTTAGAGGTGAGCAACGTGCAGCTGCTTGCAAGTTAGTTAGAGGGCAGTATTAGTAGTGAAGTGAGAGGGGAATAGAGGCACCAGGGGGTCAGTTGGTTGTGTGACTTTTCTGAGACGTTTGCAAGGGCAACTCTCATTATTTCTTTTCATGTTATTTCTTTCCTTCAAACATTGATCCATAGCAGCACTATGGAGAACCAGATGTAATGTTTCTTTATTTGCTTGTAATTCTGGAAATATCAATATAAGAGGAATATTCAGAGTACTGTTGCATTTCTTTTACTTAAATTGTACCAAATTGGTATCAAAGCTCCGACTGGGAGCTGGGGGTAAGGACGAGGACGAGAAACATGGAAGCTATGGAAGAGAGAGTTAGACGAGGAGAACAGTCGCAAGAGGAATTGATGCGAAGAATGGACACCAATGACGCGAATCAAGCAGAAATCATTCGGCAACTAAGAGAATTAAGTGCAGGGATAGAACAGCTCCGTTCTGAAGAATTTCGTCAAAGACCCAGGAACGAACCACAGCACAGGGGAAGAAACGGTTCGGAAGGATCTCATGGGAGTCACAGGGGAGGAGGATACATGGATTCTCGCGTCAGAAAATTGGACGTTCCAATTTTTTCAGGGGAAAATGCTTATGCGTGGATCAGCAAAGTTGAGAGGTACTTTCAGGTGAACGAAGTTGAGGAAGAGGACAAGGTACCTACGGTGATGTTGGTCTTAGAGGGAGAAGCTCTGAATTGGTACCGATGGTGGGAGCTAGACCAACCGGCGGCCAACTGGGTGCAGTTCCGACGAGAGGTGTTGTGTCGCTTCCAGCCGGAATTACTGGACAATCCATACGGCCCCTTGTACTCACTGAAACAGACTGGAACGATGAACGAATTCAGGCGAGAGTTTGAGACGGTGATGGGAACCATGAGGTACGCTGATGAAGAAATGCTAAAAAGGACCTAGTTGAGTGGACTTAAGCTTAGCATCAGGCAAGAGGTTCTGATGAACCCTGGGCTGAATTTAGCCTCCATGCTCAAACTGGCCCAACGAATAGATCAACGTAACTCAGCATGGGTTGACGAAGGCATGGGCTACTTTGGGCCCAAAGCCACGAATGGCCCAATTCGGGTTAATAGCCAGCCCGTACAGTACAAAGGCTCTTTCACTAAATCACAGCCACACACGTTAGTGGACGGAGGTCAACACAGCAGCGTGGGAAGTACGAAGCCCCATAACCCTGGTCGCGTGAACACAGCATCCGGGTCGCAAGGAAGCTCGACGGCGAATCATGGTGGATTTCGACAGATCTCGAACGCCGAAGCCACGGATCGACGAAATCGAGGGCTTTGCTTTCGGTGTGAAGAGAGGTGGACCCCAGAGCACCGTTGCGCAAACCGACAACTCCAGCTGCTTATTCTGGATGATGGAGAGGAAGACGAAGCGGTCAACGGTGCTAAAGGGGCTGAGGCTGAACCGGAAGGGATGCGCGAAGAGGAAGAGCATTCGTTGCAGCTGGGGTTGCACAGCATGATGAGGCTCACGTCCAATCATTCGATGAAGGTCTAGGGTGAAGTCTACGGAGAAAAGCTGGAGGTTCTCATCGACTGCGGGGCATCAAGCAACTTTGTTAAAATTGAGGTGGCACAGCGTTTGGGCCTTAAGGTGGAGAAGGTACCCATGTTCCAAGTGATAGTGGGGGACAGTCACAAAGTGGAATGCACTGGGGTGTGTAGGCAGGTTAAAATCCAGCTCCAGGGCCAAGAAATTGTACAGGATTTATTCCTGTTTGCTTTGGGGGGCGCGGATGTTGTTCTGGGGCTAGACTGGTTGAAGAAGTTAGGAGAGATAAGGGCTAATTTCAGGGAAATGACCCTCAAGTATGGCGAACCAGGTAAGGAGACCTTCATCAAGGGGGATCCTTCGTTATCCCGAACTCTCTCATCTCTAAAGGCCATGACTAAGGCCCTTCTAAACACTGGTCAGGGGTTTTATATCGAGAAGGAAGGGGTTATTCAGGAAGCTGAGGTTGAGGGCAACCTGTTTCCTCAAGGGTGGGAGGAGTTAGCCACCTTATTGGAGGATTTTGAAGATATATTTGCAAAACCAACGGGAATTCCCCCTCAACGTACCCGAGATCATTCCATAGTGTTGAAATTAGAGAGCCAAGTGCCCAATTGTCATCCTTACAGGTACCCAGACTATCAGAAAACCGAGATTGAGAAGTTGATTGCTGAGTTGTTGACTGATGGCTTCATTAGAAACAGCGATAGCCCTTATTCTAGTCCGGTTATCTTGGTTAAAAAAAAAGACGGCAGCCGGAGGGTGTGTGTAGATTACAGGGCACTGAATAAAAATACGATACCTCACAAATTCCCCATACCGGTGGTGGAAGAGTTGTTGGATGAGCTTGGGGGCTCTAGCTGGTTCAGTAAATTGGACCTGAAATCCGGGTACCATCAAATCAAGATGAAAGAGGAAGAAAACAGCTTTCAGGATGCATGAGGGTCACTACGAATACTTAGTGATGCCCTTCGGACTCACAAACGCGCCATCAACCTTCAATGCACTGATGAATGAGGTACTAAATTTTTTTTAAGGAAATTCGTACTGGTATTTTTTGACGATATCTTAATTTACAGTAAGAGTTCCTTGGAACATATTGAACACCTGCACACAGTGTTCTCGGCCCTGAGAGAGCACAAGTTGTTTGTAAACAAAAAAAAATGTAAGTTGGGGCAGAGGAGAATTGAGTATCTGGGTCATTTCATCACTGAAGAGGGAGTTGGTGCTGACCCCAACAAAATTCATGCCATGGTTAATTGGCCATGTCCCAAGAATGTTAAAGCATTGCGGGGATTTTTGGGACTCACTGGCTACTACCGAAAGTTTGTGAAGGATTATGGTAAAATTGCTCAGCCTTTGACTCAGTTGCTTAAAAAAGATGGGTTCAAGTGGGACTCCACAACAGAGGAGGCATTCCAACTGTTAAAAACTGCCATGACCAGCATGCCCGTGTTAGCATTACCAGATTTCTCAAAGTTGTTTACAGTGGTAACTGACGCTTCTGGCAAAGGGATAAGGGCGGTCCTTATGCAAGAGGGTAGACCATTGGCTTACATTAGTGAAGGGTTCTCCAAGGCAGCTTTATCTAAGTCCGTTTATGAGAAGGAACTAATGGCCATTGTGTTTGCTGTAAAGAAATGGCGTCCATACCTGTTGGGAAGGCATTTTGTCGTGAAGACAGATCAGAGGAGCCTCAGGTTCTTATGGGACCAGCATGTTCTAGGAGAAGATCAACAGAAGTGGACATCCAAGTTATTGGGGTATGACTTCGAAATTCAGTATCAACCAGGGAAGGAAAACGTAGTGGCAGATGCTCTATCAAGGACTATGTTGTACTCTTCCATTTCTCTAGTGCAGTTACCAGAGTTGGAAGAAGTGGATAGGGAAGTACAAGGTGATTCGAAGCTGCGCAAAATCATACAGGAGTTGGCCTTGAATTCTGATGCGCACTTGGGTTTTAAAATAGTGGGAGGAAGATTGTTCTACAAAGACAGGTTAGTATTATCTCCTTCCTCTAGATTTATTCCTATAATCCTACATGAGTTTCATGATTCCAAGGTTGGGGGGCATTCGGGTTTCTCCCGGACATATAACAAAATATTGGGAGTTGTTTATTGGGAAGGGATGAGAAGAGCAATTCAACAGTATGTTAAGGAGTGTGCAGTTTGTCAGCAGTACAAGGTACAGAACCTGTCACCCGCGGGTCTCCTGCAACCATTGCCCATTCCCACACAGGTTTGGTCAGAAATTTCAATGGATTTCATTGGGGGTCTCCCAAGAGCTTTTGGGGTTGATACCATTTTTGTAATGGTGGACCGCTTGACGAAATATGCTCATTTTATGGGGCTGTCTCATCCTTACTCGGCCAAGCAAGTGGCAGAATTGTTTGTGAAAGAAGTGGTTCGTTTGCATGGTTTTCCATTGGTAGTGGTGTCTGATAGAGACAAGATTTTTTTAAGTAAGTTCTGGGCGGAGCTTTTCAAATCAGCAGGTACTAAGTTGCATTATAGTACAGCGTATCATCCACAATCCAATGGCCAAACGGAGGTGGTAAATAGGGGGTTGGAAACATACCTTCGTTGTTTTTGTGGTCCTAAACCGAAGAGTTGGCCTAGGTGGCTCCATTGGGCTGAGTTTTGGTATAATACGACATACAAAGAGTCAACAGGCACCACTCCTTTCAAGGCACTTTATGGTATTGATCCTCCTCAATTGCTCAGAGTGGGTAATAGTTTTTTCAAAGTTGATGCAGTATCGTCATTGTTGGCGGATAGGGAAGTGATTTTGGAGGAGTTGAAGGCATCTCTAGAAAAGGCCCAAAATAGGATGAAAATTCAAGCGGATAAGCACCGGAGGGATGTGCGGTTTGAAGTAGGAGAAAGGGTGTACCTTTGAATCAAACCATACAGGCTGAAAACACTAGCTACCCGAATCAATGAGAAGTTGAGTCCTCGCTTTTATGGACCATTCTCAATTACAGCAAAGGTTGGAATGGCTGCCTATCGGTTAGACTTACCGTTGGGTTGTAAGGTCCATCCAATTTTCCAGGTGTCATTGCTGAAGAGGGCTGACCCAAATATTCAGAATCACCAGCCATTACCTGAAGGGCTGACAGCAGAATGGTAATTAAATGTGCAGCCTGAAGATATTCTGGATTGGCGTAGAGATGTGCAGGGGAATGTCCAAGTTCTAGTTAAATGGCTTGGCTTACCTGCATTTGAAAATACTTGGGAGAATTTTGTGGCATTGGATGCTCAATTTCCAGAACTCCACCTTGAGGACAAGGTGCTTAGCGTGGGGGGGAGTATTGATAGAGCCCAATTGCGTAAGGCCCAACTACGCAAGGTCTATGTAAGGGACCCAAACAGGAGACGAGTAGTGAATGAAGCCCAGGCCATGCAGCTGGCTAATGCTGAGTCAGCAATCTGTTAGAGGTGAGCAACGTGCAGCTGCTTGCAAGTTAGTTAGAGGGCAGTATTAGTAGTGAAGTGAGAGGGGAATAGAGGCACCAAGGGGTCAGTTGGTTGTGTGACTTTTCTGAGACGTTTGCAAGGTCAACTCTCATTATTTCTTTTCATGTTATTTCTTTCCTTCAAACATTGATCCATAGCAGCACTATGGAGAACCAGATGTAATGTTTCTTTATTTGCTTGTAATTCTGGAAATATCAATATAAGAGGAATATTCAGAGTACTGTTGCATTTCTTTTACTTAAATTGTACCACATTGCTACTTAGATTTTTTTTATTTCCCTTAGTTTTCCCTACTAAAACTATATATAATATTAAAGATAACAAAAAAAAGAAAAGAAAAGGGAATGACACAAATAAATTGAGAGCTAATCCTCCATGTAGTAATAAACTACCTACAACATAAGACAACTAAAGGTTTTGTATCATAGATATAAAAATGAAACCTTCAAAGAAATATGAATACTCACCAGTGTGCATAAATGATGCTCCCATAAATGACAGCATTTAAAGATGGAAGCTTCTCTTTGGCCTCATTAAACCAGTGATCTGCAGCACTTCCAAAACAACATCAAAGTGTTATCTCCATCATATAAAGTTGATGATTCAATCTTCACTCATTTATGAACAAGGCCCTCGAAATTATTTCCGTAAATCAAACTAGATCAAAACTCTCTCACACCAGCACCAGAAAAAAGACAAAATGTAAGAGCAGGGTTATTTAAGTATGAAAAATCAGAACAAATAAGCAAGTTCAAAGTTAATTCAATCACTTAAGAGAAAGGCACCAAAACTAACCATTGCAATACACTTCAAACTTTGGAGGCTAGGGGTGAGAAGACCAAGTGAGTTCTACTGTAACTGATACATGCAACTATATAGTTTACCATATTTTAGTGAAGAAAAGAGAATAAAAAAGCCAAATAAATGAGGTAGTTACTAATGGCATCTGACCTAGATACCATGATTAACAGATTAACTTTCACAGTAAAAGTATACAACTCAATGGCTTCTTTATAAACTGGAAAAATAGGTATTCTACTTATAAAGTTCATTGGCAATCTGTTGATAAGATTCCATTGTGAAATTAATTTACTATCAGTTTTGAGAGTTTAATTTATTGTTTGGATTCAGCTTGTCTGTTAGGTAATAAATAGAAATTATTTTCCTTTACTTATATACCACAGAAATCTGAATTTCCATTTTTCTTCCACAATAGTAAACTTCTCAATAAAAATTTAGTATAGAAACTATCCTTTATAGATTAACCCAAGGACTTAGAAGTGGAACTCTTGAAGTCTAGGAATAGCCATACACGAGAACCTTTAATTTTTTTCTCATTGACATGGTATCGAAGCTCAATAATCATGCAGTCCAAGTTCAATCCTTGCTGGCTCCATTATTCATATATCTATATTAAAAAATCTCAACACAACTAAAGTAGACATGTGCATTATCCATATTTCAAGCTCAAAGAACTCTTACATAAGAAATAGTGTTGTAAATAAAATAATATTTACAATTATTATTTACAACAGATAGGTAAAAACTATGAACCACGAACACTTCAAAAACCTTAAAAGTCGGTGTCAAACACCCCGACACGATGCGACAGGCTCCGGGCACGTGGTCAACATTTCCAACATGTTGACCAATCCAACACGCGAATTTGACCGTGTCCAACACTGTCAAAGGGCCTTTTTGTAATAAAATTATAATTTTTAAAAAATTAAAATACATTAATAAAATTATAATTTTGAAAAAATTAAAATACATTTAATAAAAACTTAAAAAAGTGTTATTCTAGATGAAAATGCTCAATGAATATAGTCTACATAATTTATGGTTTTCTATGGATATTCTATTATTTTTTCTTTATATTAATGTAATGGAATTATGGAAATGATTTATTTATTTTTTTGAATCCTTTTCGGTTAACTGATGGATATTATCAGTTTTGTTTCATTTGTTTGTTAAGTTATTGAATATAAAATGTAATATACAATATATATATTAAAGATATTATTTAATATTAAAATGTATCCCAACGTGTCAAAATCTAGATTTTTTTAAAATTGACGTGTCATAGTGTCGTACAGTGTTTTGTCGCATGCTGCGTATCGGGGTCAATGCTACATAGGGTAAAGAGGCAAGTTAGAGACAATCATTCATGATCTTCACCTAATAGCTTAAGCTTTTAAGAGAGTTGGTCTTCAACAAAATAATTAAATAAATAACTAACAACCAGAAACAATACTCATAAAAGATGCAGCAATGGGGGAAATTTGTCTGGTTTACTTACTCAGCATCACCCACTTTAGCGAATCCCCCCACAATTATACTGTATGTCACTATGCTCATTTCAATACCCTCTTCCTTCATCTTTTTAACACAATGTAAAGCTTCTTCCATGTCTCTACCAACTGCATAAGCATGAATAAGACTGCAAACATTTAACATGTATTAATTATTAAAGTCTGAAGAAAACCACAGTGCTTTTCTTTTGCATAAAAGGAACTTAATTTGAACAAAAAGAAAGAGTGCAGAGAGAAAGGGATGCAATATTCTCCTTAAACCAAAAGAAGAAAACAAAACACGGAAAAACATACAAAATACAGAACTAGCTTCCAATCCCTTTGAATATATACCACATGAAATCCCTAAAAGAATGTTAGGAAATCTCCAGTTGTGAGGGTGTATGTGAGGAAGAATTGTAGGGGATCAGAGCCCCAAGAGGGCAAGGTAATTGGCATGACTGGGGGTAAATAAACCAGTGAAGCCAGAGAGTAAAATTCTGTTGTAAGCAACAGAGAGTTATAAAATGATAGAAGAAAAGAGAGAAGAGGTTAAGGAAGTAGTGACTAAGAAGTAGACAGGAGAGATTACGGACCCCAGAAGGCTGTGTTACAGTATCTTTCTCCTCCAGTTCAGTCTTGCAATCCATTGTAAATCCATCTATTTCGCAGTTGATATCACACTGATATTAAGTGGTTTTAGTGAAATATTAAAGTACATAGTCTAGGAAACAACCTCTTTCCAAAAATGCAAAGATAAAGCTGAATACAATCGACCCTCATCTCATCCCTACCCTCACAAAGTCGGGGAGCCTTGTCCACCAAAGTTTGCCCCTTTTTTTATAGTCCCTATCAGTGCTGATCCAGTTCATATTAGAATCCTTGAGTTAAACACCAAAGAGAGGATGATATGAACATAGTACATCAACCAAAGTTCAAAAGGAGAGAGAAGAAAAAATAAAAGTGGATCTATTTGTAAAACATTACAAAGAACTTTATTTGAAAGGTTAAAAGTTTGAAATGACAGAAACTCAACAGTCAAATAAAAGTAAAAATTCTCTCTAAATCAATAATAATTTTATATTTATTCACCTTCAGAAAGAAAAATCAGTTCACTCAAATGTTCATCTCTGAAAAGATAACACATGCCAATCAAAATGTGGCATCAGCTAAAAAGTTCAAAAATGTATTTGGTCGGATTAAAATTATACCACAGTTCTAGTACAGAAGATCTTGTTTACAGAATTTGACCTTGTTTGAAGTATTTACCTACTGTACACATGTGAAGATGGCTCTATTCCTCTCGCCCGCATACTCTCAAATGTTTGACGAGCATGATGCATGTCCCCTCGACGCGCATAATATGTAACCATCAAACCATATTCTTTTCTAGCAGGCTGAAAATTTAATGAGAACAAAATAAAATCAAGAACGATTACTTATTATTCACATTACAGAAAATAAAAATGAAACCAGCAGTGCACGTGCACATTATAAATTTTCATGCAACCATCTTTATTTATGCACAAAAACATACATGTTAGCTTCCTTTTTTTAATAAAAGAAATTGTTATTAGATAGTATTAGTGATATAGCTCACTTAGCTTCTTAGTTTAGCTTTGTTAATGTTACTATACTTCTATTAGTATCAGATAGCTACTTGTATTTCTGTTTTGTATTCTGTTAGTCTGTTTAGATGTTTGTTATTTGCTGACTCAAATCTGAGTCCATATACTGCTCTATAAATAGAGCTCTATTGTATTAGTTTCATTATCTGATTATAAAGTGAATTCAATGGCTCTCTCTCTCTCTCTCTCACTCTCTCGAACTCTCTCTCTCGAACTCTGATATGGTATCAGAGCTCTCATTCTGAGGGCCTGATCAATTTATTGCTTCACTCATGGCTTCCGAAACATCATCCTCTGAAGAAAACCACAACAGTAACAACTCAAATCTCAGCTTGAATCGTACTCCTTCAACGGAGAAAATTCTAAATCTCTTCAACTATCAAATCTCCATAAAACTTACGGAAGATAATTTTCTGTTCTGGAATCAGATTGTAGAGCTGATAATAACAATCAGCTCCAACGATTCCTTGTAAATCCGAAAATTCCGTTGAAGTTTCTCACTGAAGAAGATCGAGACAATGAAACGATCAATCCAGAGTATGTAACCTGGCTCCCACAAGATCAAATGTTGTTGACTTGGTTACTTTCAATGCTTTCTGAATCTATTGTGAATGAAATCCTTGGAGTCAAACACTCTCATGAGGCCTGGGACAAGATCCATAAGTTGTTCCATGAATGATGAAGTCAAAAGCTAGAAATCTCATATCTGAGGTTCGCTCGATGAAGAAAGATGCGAAGATGATTTCAGAGTACTTGTCCAGTATCAAGACTCTTTGCAATTCGTTGAAGGCGATAAACAATCCAGTTTCTGTAGAGGATCAAATCGAGTACATACTCGAAGATTTGTCGTCAGATTACAATTCCTTCGTTCTAAGCGTTCACAGACGTGAAAAGGCATATGGCGTGGATGATATAGCAATTGAGTTAATGGCCTATGAACAGTTACTACTAAAGCAAAATGAATCACTGTTGAGTGACCTAGCCTCAACGAATGTTGCCTTAACACAGAACAAGACGGGAAAAGATACTTTGTTTGCCCCTGATTTACGAAATGAAGAACAGAGCATGAACCAAACTCAAATGCATCGCGATTCTAGTCCTTCCAATGCTGGAAACAGAGGGAGAGGAAGAGGACATGGACCTCGCTCCAATGTTCACTATCAGTTGTGCTCCAAATTTGGTCATGATGTTCGAAGTTGCTGATATAGGTTTGACAAGAACTTTATGCCAAATATTCCGCCTCCAAACTCGAACGAGTTGCAGTATTTCACTTCACAACAGTAGAAGCCTTACCAATATGTTCGTCAGCAAGCGAATCAAGCACCTCAAGCAATGGTTGCATCTCAACAGGCCTATTACCTCTTCTAATATCAGCACCTACTATTGAATGGTTCCCTGATTCTGGTCCTAGTCATCATGTCACTGCAAATCCACCAAATCTTCTTCAGAGTCAACAACTCTCTAGTACAGATCAAATTATCATTGGTAACAGACAAGGTTTGCCAATTCTTGCTATTGGTTAATCAAAATTTATGTCTCCATTTGATTGTCAAACTGAGTTGAAAATTAAAATTGTGTTGCTTGTTCCCTCAATAGTAAAGAATTTGTTAAGTGTTAGCCAATTTGCAAAAAATAACAATGTTTATTGAGTTCCATCCTTCCAAATGTTTTGTAATCGCAGGAGTCTCATAAAACTTTTCTAGAAGGAACTGTAAGAAAGGATGGATTGTACTGTTTTCCAAGTGTTCGTCTTCCTCAAGCCTCCACTCTTGTCAAGACTTCTTCAGCCTCACATGAATCTCTAGTTTCATTAGTTTCAAGTTGCAATAGTTCACAACTTCATACTTGTACTAAGCCTAGTGTTGTTTCTAATACTGCTTATTCCTTGTGGGATTGTCGTCTAGGACATCCTCATCATGTAGCCTTAAAGAATGTACATAACTCTTGTAAAATTCCTTTTGATAATAAAAAATGAATTGGACTTTTGTTCCTCTTGCTGTCTTGGAAAAGCTCACAGGCTCCATTCCCCTTCTTCCCAATCTGTTTATAATTCACCTTTTGAGTTGATCTATAATGATCTTTGGGGACCAGCTCCAATCAAGTCTGCTCTTGGAAATTCATATTATATATCCTTTGTGGATGCTAATACAAAATATTCTTGGTTGTATCCTATTCAACAAAAATCAAGGCAAATGTTATATTCAAACAATTCCATTCAATGGTCACCAATCATTTTCAAGATCCAATTAAAGCAATCCAAACTGGTAAGGGTGGGGAGTTTCAGTCATTTACCCAATACTTACAGCTCCATGGCATATTGCATAGAATAACTTGTCCACATACACACCATCAAAATGGCGTGGTAGAGAGAAAACATAGACATATTGTGGAAACGGGTTTGACTCATCCTCTCATGCATCTCTCCCTATGAAATTTTGGGACTATGCTTTTAATTCAGCAACCTTCCTTATTAATCGTTTACCCACTGCTTTCTTAAACTTTGAGGTTCCATACACCAAACTTTACAAAGCTGAGCCTGATTATAAATTTCTTAAAGTGTTCGGTTGTGCTTGTTTTCCATTTCTAAGACATTATAAAAAATATAAACTTGGATACAGATCCCAAGAGTGTGTTTTTCTTGGATATTCCTCTAGTCATAAAGGATATATTTGTCAACATAAAGATGGAAGAACCTTTGTTTCCAAAGATGTGATTTTCAATGAATACCTTTTTCCTTATGCAAAGTCATGGTCTTCTAGCCCTGCTACTTCTGCTCCTGTTGTCCCTCATTCCATTTCTCTTTTTGTTCAAGACATTTTACCATCAAACAATTCTTTTGTTAATGCACAAAGTACTGGTACATCACATTCTTCTTCTGCACAATCATCTCCTATCTCATATACAAATGTCAATCCATTGGACACCTCACCACACACACCTATTCAGTCTAACTCTCACACCTCAGATTCTGACTCTATATCTCTACCTAATCATACAAACTCAACTCAAGACTGAGACTCCCCAGCTCAATCACAGTTGGATTCTTCACCTGCTTCCTCATCATCTTCCTCTCGAGTCTTCTTCTTCTGAATTTTTACCTTCATCCTCTCTTAATCTTAACTCTCCTACTCATTCTATTCAAACCAGATCAAAAATTCTTGCTAGAGCTCAAGCTCTCCTCACTCACATTGAACCCACTTCAGTCAAAAAGGCCCTATCTAGTCCACCTTGGCACGAGGCTATGAAAGTTGAATACAATACTTTATTGGCTAGCCATACTTGGACTCTTGTTCCTCTTCCTCCTAACAGGTCTGCTATAGGGTGCAAATGGGTATTCAAGCTTAAAGAAAATCCTAATAGGTCCATAAATAAGTATAAAGCAAGGCTGGTTGCTAAAGGTTTCCACCAACTACCTGGATTTGATTACAATGAAACATTCAACCCGGTTGTTAGACCAGTAACCATTAGATTATGCTCACTTTGGCCCTAACTTATGGCTGGCCTCTTAGGCAATTGGATGTCAATAATGCCTTCTTAAATGGTGATCTTGAAGAGGAGGTGTACATGGTACAGCCCCCAGGCTTTGAAGACTCTAATAAAACACTTGTTTGCAAGCTCAACAAGGCTCTTTATGATGGGCTAAAACAGGCCCCACGAGCCTGGTTTGACAAACTGAAGAGTTATCTTATCTCCTTTGGCTTCAAGGCAAGCTATTGCGATCCTTCATTATTTACTCTTTGATCTTCCTCAAGATGCATCTATGTTCTTATCTATGTTGATGACATCATAGTAATCGGGACTGATCCTTCCTTCATTACTCATCTTATCTCAAAACTTAATGCTCAGTTTGCTAAAAAGGATTTGGATAACTTGGATTATGTCCTTGGTTTTGAGATCAAAAGGAATTCTTCAAATACATTGACGTCGTCTCAGTCAAAGTACATTCGAGATTTACTCACTAGAGCTTCTATGCAAGAAGCTAAGGGAATTTTTTCTCCTACGCCTAGTAGCTGCAAACTCTCTCGGTTTGGTTAACATTACTACCCTGATCCACATCACTACAGGTTAATTGTTGGTGCTCTCCAATATGCCACTATTACTAGACCTGATATTAGTTATGCAGTGAATAAAATTTCTCTATATATGGCCCAACCATTAGAGGAGCACTGCGCTGTTGTCAAAACAATCTTGCACGGACTGTTTCATTAGGCATGCAGCTCAAGGCAGCCTGTCCCACTAGTTCTTTGTCTCTCCGAGCTTATTGTGATGTTGATTGGGCCTCTGATCCTAACAATAGGAGGTCAACATCAGGTGCAAGCATTTTTCTTGGTACAAACCTTGTCTCTTGGTGGTCCAAGAAGCAAACTTTAATTGCCCGTTCTAGTACCGAAGTTGAGTATCGCAATTTGGCCACTACTTGTGCTGAAATCTTATGGATCCAATCTCTTCTCAGGGAACTTCATATCCCATTGTCTACTCCTTAGATTCTTTGTGACAATTATGAGCACAGTGGCTCTAACTCGCAATCCAGTTCTTCATGCTCAAACCAAACATATGGAACTTGATATTTTCTTTATCAGTGAACATGTTATCAATAAAGAATTGATGGTGTCTCATATTCCATCTTCTGATCAAGTTGTTGATACTCTTACAAAGGCTTTGTCACCTGCTCGATTTGCTGAACTGAGGTCCAAACTCAAGGTCTTGGATAGCTCATTCTTCACATCCAAGCCACCTTGAGTTTGCGGGAGGATATTAGTGATATAGCTCACTTAGCTTCTTGGTTTAGCTTTGCTAATGTTACTATACTTCTGTTTGTATCATATAGCTACTTGTATTTCTGTTTTGTATTCTGTTAGTCTGTTTAGATGTTTGTTATTTGCTGATTCATATCCGAGGCCATATACTTCTCTATAAATAGAGCTCTATTGTATTAGTTTCATTATCTGAATATAAAGTGAATTCAATGGCTCTTTCTCTGATCTCCTCTCTCTCTCTCTCTCTCGAACTCTGATAGATAGAAAAATAGAAGGTACATCTGGAGAAAGAATAATAAATTCTCCTAAAAAGTAAAAACATAATTGGTGTCAACAATCATCAGTGGATGACGAGAAAAATTCATATAAAACAATAACAGATACAAGTCTTTTACTCATAAAACCCAAAGACCCGTGCTTGAACAATACCCTTGCCAAAAGGTGACAAAAACAATCTCTGAAGACAGAAAAATCCAAGTCATCATCATTAGACATATTTAAAGAATAATAAACAGCATATATTACTACTAATGATAGCCTACCTTCATGACAATGAGCACACATAATAAAAACAAAAGAACAAACACTAGATGAAGAACAATTTTACTTTCTACAAGAATTTATATCTTCCTATTTAAATTAAGGGTAGATGACAAAAATCTTTTAATAAACCAAAAGCATAACAAAGAAAAGAAGTAAAATGAAGGTAATTATAAATCCACTATTGGCTCTAAGCTAAAACAAAGATATTATTCTCTTATATTTCACACAAGAAATATAGAAACTTAACAATCATTATTTCTAGTTTGTCATAGTTTCTGATGTCCTCTTTAATAACATTATGATGTAAACATTAATTTTCAATTATTAAAAATGAAAGTAGATTTTACAACAATGCTTACTCCCTATCTCAACGAAAATAGAATTCTCCATAGCTTTGGAACTACAAAATACATATCATTGCACATATTAGTGTCAGTGTGCAAAAAAAAATTGGACCATACAGAGTGGTATAACTGAAGAAAATCAAGGAACCTATTATCTCTCTGGCATAGTTACCCTCTAGATGCTAGAGCCCTATCTCTATGAAAACCCCTTTCCCTCTGACGAGAAATACCAAAAACAAAATCCCATCTTTTAATTTTTAAATTATTATCACTGGCCCCTTGTTTTAACATGACTTTTTGCAATGTCTCGATGCTTAACCCTTATTAGTTTAGTACACAAGGCAAAAACTTCAAACTTATCCCAATGGAAAAACTCATCCTTGTATTTTTCACACACCTCTCCCACCCACTCATTTTTTGTTTTGGTTTCCCAGGGTGTCCCCATCCATTTGGATGAGACTAACCCCCTTGGTGGTGTAGAGCCTGAACCACTGCCCCAACGTGTTCGCCTAGGAATTGAACCAAAAACCTTTTAGCCTCCGTTGACAGCACCTTTAAGGGTACACCAAAATGACTCTTACAATTGAAGTCTTGGCATAATGATTGTTGTTATCAACATGTGATATGGAGATCACAGGTTCATTTCATGTAATCAACCTCGTGCAAAAATGCAAAGTAAAACCACCTACTACAGAATCATATGCACTACTACAGTAACTTTTCTACTGATAGAGACATATATGAACTGCATACATATACTTAAGTTAAGATGATGAACCTTCTTAATTCTGTCGAAAGCAGTTACAACCGCCTGCCAATTCTCTGGCTCGGTCTCCAGAACCTTCTGGAACTCCTTCCTAGAGCCATCCCTCTCTTCATGCCACTTGGTACGGTGATATTCTCCCTTATCATCATTCCCTTCCAACCACCTTGCTCTCTCCATTGACTTCTCCTTCAACCTCTTCCCATCATCCAACTTCACCGTCAACACTCTCCCGTGAAACTCCACGCCGTCGAACTCCACCGCCTTCATCGCCGACTTATCCGCCGCCTTCTCATCGCCGCCCCCATAAATGACAAACCCGAAACCCGCATTCCTCTCCGTTTCATGGTGTCCCTTGATCAGGATCACGCTCTTAATCGTCCCGAATTGCCGAAAGAACTCTGAAACCTCGTTTTTCTTGAGCCACAAGGGTAGGTTCCCGACGAAGATTTTCCCCGGTTGCCGGAACTGAGTCCAATTATCGGAGTTTCCGGTGGTTTTTGCAGTTTCGTTCTCCTCGTCGGTGTTTGCGGTTTCATTTTCTTGCTCCGCTTCGAGCGGCGGCGGCGGAGGAAGAGGAACAGGAGGAGGGGGAGGGGGAGGAGAGAGTTTGCTAGTGAGCCACAGCTTGTTTGTGAGGGAATTTTGGGAGGAATTGAAGGGGTTTTTGAGGGGGTTTGAAATTGAAGGGGTTTTAGGGTTTGAGTTGTTGGGTGAGGTTGTTTTGAGGGGGTTGGAGGGGCGGCGGAAGTTGCCAGGGGCGGCGGAGTTGTTGGAGTCCGGTGGCGGTTTTAGAGAGAAAGATATGGTTGTGGCGGCGGAGGAGGAAGGGTGGTGTTTGGGGGAGAAAAGGGTGGTGTTGGTTGGTATGGAGAAGTGTGAAGTGGAGAACGAGAAAGATTCCATTGTTTTCGTTTTGGGTTAACTATAGGAGTGCACACACACACGACACAACCAGAACCTTGCAACCTCGCGCTATGCTCACTCACTGGTAAGTGGTAACTACATACACTGTCCAAGTACACGAACACGAGACTCGCAAGATATTTATTTTTTCCTCTGAAAAAATAGTTTTTATCTCTCTGTTTATTTATTTTTTATTTATTCACTCCGCTGCAAAACTCTTTAAAATTTTAATTTTTTATACGTGTCTATACTTTACAACTCAAGTTAAAAATAAATTGTTTCATAAAGTAATTTTCATAAACTCTGTTTTTAATTAAAATTATTATAATGGTATTAAAAATCTTTATTGTTTAGATAAATATAAGAAAAAATAAAAGACAATTGGAAGAAATGAGGACATCGATAATTTGTGATTAGAGAATAGAGTAAAATTTGTAAATATAATTCTAAAATAAGGATATAATTAGAAAAAAAAAAAAAAAAGTTGGCAATCGTGCATAGTCTTCGATAACAATGGGTAGCATGCATCACATTAGTTGGCAAAGCATGTGCACATGGAATTTACACAACGGATGATATAGAAGAAGGTTGCCGCAAGCGATTAGTCTTTAGATTAGATTGCACTCTAACTACGTTTTATTCTAAATCTTGGATTAGTATTACATTGGGCCGTTTGGTATGCAACATTTCGTAGGATTTCCGGGAAACTGAATTTTTCTAAATTTTAAATTTTCGGATATTATCGTAAATTGAATGTAAAAATCATATTTTTGAAATTCGAGATTCCCTGACAAATAAAAATTTCTTCTGTACCAAACGCCCCTAGGGGAAATTGGGATTTTCTAACCCTGTTTATCTAAATTAATGGGTTGTCACAGTGAATCTTTTGATAAGTGGTCCTTATTTTTTTTTAGGGAAGGTGTGAAAAATTAATTTATGGTTTACTAATGGATAACTATAACGTAGAGAGCAAATAAAATTTTTCTAAGCTTTTAGAAGATAAATGGACCAATCTACCCTTGCCTTTTGTATTGTCACATTTTCGTAGGAAGCGTAAAATGGTCTTTTTCATATAACCCTGCTTAAAGTTAAAACTTAGAGGACATTTTCTTTAGACCCGCACTTTATTTCCTCTTCGCCTACGTGCATCTCTTTTACTCTCCCTCTTTCTCTGTTTCTTCACCTTGGCTATCACCTCCAAACAGACAATGTTTTTCTCTCAAATATTCATCTTCCTTCAAGACTCATTCAACACCGCTCAACCTAAAAGCGTGGCATTACCTTTTCTTTTTCCCTTCCTTCCCCCCTTACTATCCTTTGGCTGAAACTGATAAGAGCAGAATTTCAAAGAACAATTGAGAACAATATTATTCAATCGATTTCTGTAAAAATCTGTTACAACTGAAACTTATACCCACCCTTTACATGCAAAAGTCAATTCCCACTACTCACACCTGAGTAACAACCTGATACTCTCAGATGTTGACACCTAAGCACATCAACAATATGTTAATCGACACATCAAAGGCTCTCAGCCACCTAAGCTAGACACACGTGCTTATACTACAAGATCAATATGCAGATCAATATGCTTGGTAGTCCAAAGCCCATGTTGGAGCGCCCAAGATCCTTTGGGCCTATTCTTTTGAACCAATTCCTGCTGGCTTGTTATCTCACTTGCAGCTAACTGATCCACATCTGTAACACTCCTTCCCTCTACAAAAGGGACTTGACCACAAGGTCCAATGCGGGATAAAATTGTTGAAGGTCCTCCTCATTCTCCTATGTTGCATCTTTTAATAAGGCATGGGACCACTGTACCAGCCATTGTTTCACAGTTGTTCCATAATGAATTAAAATCCGTGAGTTAAGAACAGAAACTGGATTCTGTATGGGCTGATTCTCATGATAGTTGGCAGGTAAATCAAGTATTGGGACATTTGGATTACCAATATATGGTTCCAAAACATAAATGTGAAATGAGGATGAATCCTAGATGCTGGAGGTAACTCTAGCTGGTATGCAACTCGGCTAAGTACCTTTTTGATAGGAAATGGCCCAAAATAGCGTTTGGCCAGCTTCTGGTTACTCCTGTGTGCTAAGGAGATCTGTCTATAAGGCTGCAATTTAACTAGAACCAAATCTCCCACAACAAACTCCTTATCTCTGCGATGCTTGTCAGCAAGAATCTTCATTCTGTTCTGGGCTGCCTGCAGATGGTGCTTAAGGCTATTGAGAAGCTCATTTTGGTGGTTCAACATATCATCTATAGCAGCTACTCGTACATAACCTTGATCATAAGAAGGAATCAAAGTAGGTTATTTTCCATATAAAGCTTGGAAGGGTGTCATACCTATGGATGAGTGGTGTGCTGTGTTATAGTGCAATTCAGCCCACCCAAGGTACAAGGACCACTTCTTGTTTTGATCATGGCAAAAAGCCCTCAGATACTGCTCCAGATATCTGTTTGTGACCTCAGTTTGACCGTCGGTCTGTGGATGGTAAGCTGAGCTCATCTTCAGTGTGGTTCCACTCAGTCTGAATAAAGAAGCCCAAAATTGGCTAACAAATACTCGGTCCCTGTCAGACACTAATGATTTTGGAAAGCCATGTAGTTTAACTACAATGTCACAAAATAGCTTGGCCACAGAAGAAGCAGTATAAGTAGCTGGAAGAGGTCCAAAGTGAGCATACTTTGTTAACCTATCAACAACCACCAAGATAGCAGAAAAAGCATTGGAAAAAGGCAATCCAGTAATGAAATCAAGACTAAGATCCTCAAACACTCCCACTGGAATTGGTAGAGGATGTAGGAGACCCAATGGAGGGGTAGTTGTTGTTTTGACATATTGACATGTCTGACATTCCTTCACAAATGCAATGACATCCTTGCGCATGTGAGTCCGATGAAAACAAGCTGACAATCTTAGAAAGGTACGGGTGATGCCTGCATGTCCCCCTACTGGTGAGGAATGTGCCTCTCTGATCAAAATCTGCTTCAAATTCAAGGTAGGACTAATCAAATACCTTCCTTTGTGAAACAACAACCCATCACGAAAGGTGAATGAGTGATCCATGTACTTGTTATCCCCAATCTGCTGCTGTATATCGATCAGATATGGATCAGAAGTATTTTCCTCCTGAAGTTGATCCAAAAATGCATAAGTTGGATTGGAGACCAAACACAGCAGTGAAGCTTCAGCAGGTGTGCTATCTTCAAAGCATCTTGACAAGGCATCAGCTACAACATTGGAAGTTCCACTCTTGTACTCAATTGTGAAATCAAATCCTAGCAACTTGCACACATACTTTTGCTGCTCAGGTGTGGAGACCGTTTGTGTCAACAACTCCTTAAGGCTCCTCTGATCTGTTTTGATGACAAATCTGGATCCAAGCAAGTAGTGCCTCCAACGTTTGACTGCTTCAGTAACAATATACAATTCACGAACATAGGTGGAAGCAGCTTGCATTCTTGATCCCAATTTCTTGCTAAAATAGGAAATGGGCCTGCCTTCCTGCAATAAAACAGGCCCTACACCAGAATTAGAAGCATCAGATTCTATAATGAAGGGTAATGCAAAATTAGGGAGACATAGCACTGGAGTTTCAGTCATGACTTTTTTTAGAATCACAAAGGCATTCTCCACTTCGGAAGTCCAGTGAAATGAATCACACTTGAGAAGATCAGTGAGGGGTGTGGCTAAAGAAGCATACTGTTGTACAAAATGCCTATAGTATCCAGTTAAGCCCAAAAAGCCCCTAAGTTGCTTGAGGGTGCGTGGAGTAGGCCATTGAACCATTGCTGCAATTTTGTTTGGGTCAGCTTGGATACCATCTCCAGAAATCAGATGGCCCAAATACTCTAACCTTTCCACCCCAAAAGAGCACTTACTTAATTTGACATAGAATCCATTAGTCAGGAGGCACTGTAATGTTATTCTCAAATGGCTGAGATGATCCAACAAGGAAGCACTATACACGAGTATATCATCAAAGAACACAATGAAAAACCTGCGAAGATGCTCCTTAAACATGTGATTCATGGCAGCCTGAAAAGTGGAGGGTGCATTGGTTAAGCCAAAAGGCATGACCAAGAATTCATAATGGCCCTCATGGGTCCTAAAAGTTGTCTTAAAAACATCTGCTGAATGGACCCGAATTTGATGATAGCCACTGCGCAAATCCAACTTGGAAAACACCCTTGCTCCATATAGTTCATCCATCAATTCCTCAATGGTAGGAATAGGGAATCGGTCCTTGACTGTGATGTTGTTAAGCTGTCTATAATCTATGCACATTCGCCAAGTTCCATCCTGTTTTTTAACCAGAAGCACAGGAGAAGAGTATGGACTTCGACTTTCACGGATGTAGCCAACATTCAAGAGCTCAGCTACCTGTTTTTCTATTTCAGCTTTCTGATGATAAGCATACCTATATGGACGCACAGATATTGGTGGAGCATTAGGTAACAAATGGATGGTGTGATCACATTTCCTAGGTGGGGGTAAAACTGTTGGAACTTGGAAAACAGCACCAAATTCAACCAATATATCCCAAAGTTCCTGAGAAACCTGCGATTTCAAGGCATCTAACTCAGTAGAACCTTGTTGTGGTGCCCCTAAACAAAACAACAAAGAGGAATCTGGCTGCTTCACAGATGTGCCTTGGAGCACTACCCTCTGTTTGCACCATTGGAACTCCATAGTCATGTAAGACTCTACCCAAAGTAACCAGCCAACCAATACCCAAAATTATGCCTAATTCCTGAAGGTCAATCACCCACAGATCCACTACAAACTGATGCCCTTGGATTAAAAGTGACACACCAGTACATTTCCTGTCACAAGTCATGATCTCCCCATTACCTAAATGTACTCGCATTCTAGCTATTTTTGACATTGGTAACTCCAGTTTTTCAGCTATCTCACGATTAACAAAATTGTGAGAGCTTCCTGAATCAACTAAAACAGCCACAGTTGTGCCCTTCAGGTGAATGTCAAATTGTAAGGCTCGTGGATTACCTTCCTCAGCCATAGAATGCAAGGCAGCATCTCCTCCCTCTGCAGG